CGTTGTAGAAGATAGTTTATGGGGTCATGTCGGCCGTTTGTAGAAGACAGTTTATGGTGTCATGTCGGACCGTTGTAGCAGACACTGTGTGGTCGTGTCAGACCGTTGGTAGGACACTGTATGGGGGTGTCATAACATTGTAGAGGACACTGTATGGTGGTGTCATAAAGTTGTAGAAGACAGTTTATGGGGTCATGTCGGACCGTTGTAGAAGACTGTTGTGACAGTTGTTGTGACAGTTTACGGAGTCTTGCTGGACCCTTGTAGAAACTAACCGGAATCAATGTCGGGACAGTTTACAGAGTCTTGTCGGACCATTGAAGGAGCTAACCGGAATCAATGTCGGGACAGTTTACTGAGTCTTGTCGGACCCATGAAGGAACTAACCGGAATCAATGTCGGGAGGGAGAGAGATGAATGGTCCCGAGAGAGAGATAAGAGAGAGTGTGGGTGTGTGTATGTGCTTTGTGAGAAAAAGACAGACCACGTGAAAGTGAGTCAGCCACCTAGTGGAAGAAAAACGAAAAGATTCGATCGAGAGAGATAGTGCTTGTGTATTTTTGTTTATTCTCCCCCTTCTTTGACCATGCGTGCTCCTTTTCTCTCTGTCGGTTTGGACATTAGAAGGCAGAAAAACTTGATCTACTCCGACTTGCTTAGCTGCACTAAGATATCCTGAAACATTCGTAAGTTTCTCCACAGTGGTATTGGCTTGCTTTACAACATAGTCCAATGTTTTTGTTGTAATATCATGAAACTTCCCCTGTCCAGTGTACAGAACAACACATCCAACTATTGCAGCAACGGTGAAGAGCATGAGGAAAATAAGAGAGAGAGCATAAGCTGTTCGAGAATAGCCATAAGGCGCCCTTCTACAACAGAAATAGCAGAGACAGATGAAAGATAAGCACAGTCCAAAGACCACAAACCAGATAGCCGCAATGACAAAAAAGGGAGCAGCAGTTAAAGCCACGGAAGCCCAGTAATGGGACTCCCTAATGTTCCAACCCCCTGAGTATTTCTTGAACCCATTAAGAGGGTCTCTTCTGTGAGAATGTCAAGGCAAGTCTCCACCGCCGGGAATACGTCTTTGTTCGACAACCATTCCAGTTCTTCCTCTGCAATTTCCTCAGGGAAGGAGAGGCTTTGATGATGATGAGGGTCTGGGTTGGAAGACTCCAGCGAAGAAGAAGAAGAAGAAGGGGTTGTGAGGGTTTTGTCGCCAGTGTCCAAAGTAAAGTTGAGAAGGTCATCCACCATGAAACGCGCACCTGGGTCCAGACCAGTTTCCATTCCTTTCTAGAGAGAGAGATCGAGTGTCGTCCAGTAGAGCCGAGGAAGAGTACGGGTTTACCAACCAAGGACCCTTGGTTCTACCTTGCGATGAGTCGGTCTTCGAAGAGATCCTCCGAGTCGTGTCCCTGTCTGACTCGGCCAACTCGGGTCGGTTTGTTAATCTCGACGATTTCCAGCGATGTTGCGACGTGGGTCGTAGGAGTAATCTTGATGGTTTGGGTGAATCTGGACCGTTGCTTCACGGGTTGGGTGACGAATCAGTTTGTTGAGGAAGGAGAGAGAGAATTAGAAATTTTGGGTTTGTCCGGCGGACGGCCAAGGCGAGGCTGCCGTCCACCGGTGAAGCGAAATCACTAAATTCTCAACCTTGCTCTGATACCATGTAGAAATTTATGTATTATTGATTGATGAGTTTATGATTATTTCATGATTTTCTGTTGTTAAAATAACTGATGTACTTGGCCCTCTGTCTCCCTTGATGATTGATCTGATACATTGATGATTTATATTACAAAGCAGAGTAGCTCATTATATAGGAGAGGGTTTGGGTAGTAGGTGAGGAGTAGGTGAGGGTAAATTGGTGGTAGGTGTAGTAGGTGTGGTAGTAGGTGGTGGTAGGTGTAGGTAAATTCTAACAGTTAGTTTGTTGAAACGACTTTTCTGGGTTTTAAGCCATATTAGTGGCATCAGGTAAGAGAAAATCTTGCGGCATCAACTTGAATGTCATGGACTCATACTTGCTTCTTAAACAACAATATGGACTTTGGTTGGCTTCTTCTACTTGGAGAAGAGGAAATCAGTTTCAATATTCACGCCTCTCATACGTTTAGGCATGGATGATGATGAGGACCAGTGTTATTAAAGGCAATAGGCACACCAACACTACAAGAAAAAACACTTTCCGTGACCAACATTTTGGTCGCGAAAAGTACCATATTTGGTCGCTAAAATCTTTTCACGACCAAAATGTGTTGGTCGCGAGTTGGTC